GGGGAAGGGGAGGGGGCTGCCCGGGGGGGTGGGGGTCCGGGTTTTTGGGGTGGTGGTCCCGAGCGCGACCCTCGGCCAGGCTGAAGATGGGATAACGCTCCGGAGCCGAGCGGGGGGACAGCACCTGGATAAAATTGGGTGGGTGGGTTTGGGGGGGGGGCTCAGCACCAAAAAATAAATAATTTAGGGGGGATGACACCCCCCCAGACCCCCTCCCCAAATAAAAACGGGTCTCACCTGGGCCAGGTCCCCCCAAAGCTGCTCCAGCTCCGTCGCAGCGGCGTAGAAGCCGAAGGTGCAGCTGGGATCCATCTTCCCGAAGGGAATTTTCCGTGGGAAGCAGCAGTGGAAAGACTTGGGGAGGGGGAGGGAGGGAAATTTGGGGTGGGGGGGTCACAACCCGCGGAGACCCCCACCCCGATTTTTTGGGGGGCGCCCACCTGCAGAGGGAAATCGGGCCGGGTGGTGTCCACGCAGGGCTGGCACAGGTGAGGGTCCAGGTAGAGCAGGGAGTCACCTGGGGAGGGGGCGCCGAGGGGTGGGGACCACCGGGAATCCCACCGGGAATCCCACATCCCGGGAATCCCAATGGGAATCCACCCGGGAACGTCCCGGGAATCCCACCGGGAATCCACCCGGGAACATCCCGGGAATCCCCCCGGGAATCCCACCGGGAACATCCCGGGAATCCCACCGGGAATCCACCCGGGAATCCCACCGGGAATCCCGCAGGGAATCCCACCGGGAACATCCCGGGAATCCCAACGGGAACATCCCGGGAATCCCACCGGGAACATCCCGGGAATCCACCCGGGAACATCCCGGGAATCCCACCGGGAACATCCCGGGAATCCCAACGGGAATCCACCCGGGAACGTCCCGGGAATCCCAACGGGAACGTCCCGGGAATCCCACCGGGAACATCCCGGGAATCCCACCGGGAACATCCCGGGAATCCCACTGGGAATCCCACATCCCGGGAATCCCAACGGGAACATCCCGGGAATCCACCCGGGAATCCACCCGCGAATCCCACCGGGAATCCCACCGGGAACATCCCGGGAAACCCCCAGGGAATCCCACCGGGAATCCCGCAGGGAATCCCAACGGGAATCCCACCGGGAACATCCCGGGAATCCTCTCGGGAAACCCCCGGAACACCCGGGAACATCCCGGGAATCCACCCGGGAACATCCCGGGAATCCTCCCGGGAAAACCCCAGGGAATCCACCCGGGAATCCCCCCAGGACCCCCGGGAATCCTCCCGGGAA